TATCTTGAGACAAATTATATAACAACGCCACCCCTTCAAACGTCCCACGTTAGTGGTTTTTCTCGATCTGAAAGCTTCTTTTGACTCTGTCGATCGTCAGAAATTGTGGCAGTGCCTGGCGATCAAAGGTGTCTTTTCCAAATGTATATCCATTATTAGGTCTCCGTGTGAGAACTCCTGTGGGCGAGTACAAATATACGGTAAGCTTTCGCCTCAGTTCATCACATCTAGTGGTGTAAGACAAAAGTGCTCCCTCTCACCATTCCTCTTCAACTTTGTGATTGATGTATTGCTTGAAATTTGTCTGCGTGCCTCTGAAACCTCCTGGATCAAAATGTCCCTTGTTTTTTTTCACTTATGGACACTGATTACGCTGACGATACTGCTCTACTTGGTTTAGATCGTTCGGAAATGCGAACCATGTTAAATAACCTAACCAACTATGCAATTTGGCATGCGCTTCACGCCTGCGAAGTGTATAATCCTGCTACAAGACTGGGTTGGATAAAACTCAAACCTGATGCTCGCACACGGGCCATTCAACATGGTAGATAAATTTATTCACCTGGGAAATTGTATAAGTTCTGATGGATTGACTGGAGCGTAGAATGAATAGCGCTTCACTTGTCTAAGGACAATCGTGCGTAAGCTGAAAGTAAAGGCGAAATCATCGTTAATACGAAGCGATAATGTGAACACAAAGGATAGCCATAATATCTATCCGGTTCACTGGGTTGTGTGTGGAGAGAGGTAAGTCGGATACAGAGACTGAATGAAGATTGTAAAAATCTCTTAAGGGGTAATGAAAAGTGTGATCAGGCTTGTTTCTTGGGATGTATGGTCGTGTATGTTGCTGGAGCCTGACTAAATCAGAGATGGCAAGGTCACATGTATCTAGAGATAAAACTACATCACCCGACCACGACGGTGAAGGGCCGCGTGCAAGTCAGATAGAAGGTGTGTATGAGTGTCATTGTAAGCGTGAACTTGGCATGTTCGGTCACCACATGGAGCAAGATGGCTAACGGATACAATACCTTCTTTTCCGCCGGGAAAACAGCAATAGGCGTAATGAGGATTGCCATTCATCACTTTGACTCCCTCAATGATTTGAGGCACGGTCAGATCTTTTCAACAAAACAGGTCCTGGGGTATATACGTAAGGCACTACTCATAAGGTTGCTAAAAATTCTTCGACAGCCCACGACCGGTCTCGCCCTTATTGGGGCTCATCAGGTAGGTGCAGTCGCCGAGGTTCCGTCGATCTTATGTTCTACTTGAAACCAAATTGCACGAAATTAGCGAAATACATCTCAAGCGAGAGATTCAGCTGGGTTTCTGGTGAGTTTTTCGCAAAACCAAATTTATTTGCAAATGATCGTATTTCGCTAAGGTCCTGGAGTAGTTAACCAAGTTGGTGTAGACAAACTACCGGGTAACCAACGTTCGTTCCTGTGGAGCGGCATTCGTGAAGACGCAGAGAAGGGACCGTGTAGAACCGATTCTCGGTGATAGATTTGAAGGCCTTTCCTCTTGAGTCGCAGCTGGATTGCGCCCCAGAATGTCCCGTTGAGGCGTTCGACTTGTCCGACCCCTGGGGACTGTAAGCAGTTGTTCGGTTGGTGCAAACCTCTGTCATGTAGGAGTGTGGGCAGTTCGTCAGACGTGAATGAGGGGCCGTGATTCGGATACACGTGTGCAGACATACCAAACAACGAGAATAATTCATATGTACATTTAACGGCAGACGTACATCCACCTGCTCAGGGAATACACCTCACTTTCCATCGAAGGTGATTTCAACTTTGTTAGGTAGATGAAAGAGGTTATGGTCTGGCAGCACGTCAGTACATCTGCTAGCTGTGACATCCTTTCGGTCCCTAGCCGCCGTGCCACCCGAAAGAAACACGAGGTCTGGGTTACTGCCAGGTTGCCCAAGCCTAGACAGGAGAAGTTGAGGTGCAGAGGTAGGGTTTGAACCACGGGCCCTCCGGTCAGTAAATTCGCGCTCTAATCACAGCCGTCTCGTCCCCACGTCAGAAAATAGACTCGGTAGCACCAGTAGTCTGATGTTTTTAAACAGTGTCCTTGTAATCGATGGATACGTAGCAGTAGCCGCTACTTGAACACGTCAGAGAGGTAGGTGCCGTGGTAATCACAGAATCGTTAGCGTACATCTTCCAGCCATGTATACAAACTACCAATGGAGATAGATAACCGCCCGAACTTCCTGTATCTAGGACGGCCTGAAGCGATCTTCCGTTGACCTTTATGCTGGTCACCGTGCGGGATAAGCAGTTCGGGGTTGCAGCAGTCATCAGAGTGGATGTGGCAGAATCCGTCGTATAATTTGGATGATGTTAGTTAGATTTGGATCAACAAGTGGCCTGTCTCGCCACTTGATTTACAAACGTTTTCTCTTGTGGGACATTTAGATCGTGGATACCTGGAACGACCGCAAAAATATCGTATCTGGGAACTGATTGACGAAAGACAAGGTGTGAAATCAGGGGAGATTGCTTGTGTTAGGTAAATGTCTGTAAGGGTGCCGCAGCCGCAGAAAATGATGTCGGTTGGTTATGCGAGTATAACATCTTGTTTGTGGACCAATTCGTGTGCTTCATCCAGAGTAAGTTCACTTTGAGCTAGCAGTCTTTTTCTGATGGTGATAGACTGAAGTCTGTTGATCAGAGCATCGCGCACACGTTCATCTTGACGGTCAGTGGCGGCTACCGCCTTGAAATAGAATTTTTTGCCAAATATTTAAGCTCCTGGACAAACCGATTAACATTTTGACTGCTGTCTTGTTTGTATGTTTGTAGAAGATAACGAGCATAAATTATGTTCTTTGGACGAACTTACTGATAGCGGATTTAATCGGGACAGTCAGCGATGTAAGCATATACCAGTGCATTCACGAAATGAATGATGGTTTCGAGTTTTTCTTTTAGATAAGCAATTTACCAGTGTCCAGAAACGTTCGGAAGCGTCTGGGCGATTTGGGTCTGTGTCGAAACACTTGAGTCGCAGCAGCGGTTCCATTGTATTCTTAAACGGGTAAATTGTTACGGATGGAGTATGGGTCCTGATTGGGCGCGAGGACCAGACTGAACAGCGTAGAATGAATGGCCGTTTTTACTTAGGAATAGACGTACATAAGCTGGAATTAAAGACGAAGTCATGGCTAATACGAAGCGATAATGTGAACACAAAAGATATTCATGACACCTAGGGAGAAGGAACTCTCCCGTCATGGATAAATTACTCATGCTTTACAGTTTACGGTGATTAGGACATGTACTCCACATGTCTGCCTCACAGAGCTCTTTACCCTGCCCTTTGTTGAGTGGAAACAACCGAAAGGTGAACAGTGTAGACCTGGCAACGAACTGTGAAAACTCTAACCGGTAAACTTAGTCGGATCGACAACTGCCACCTCCGTGGATGGGGACCCCCGGGCTCGACCCAAAAATGCTCAATCGCGTAGCCAGTGGCACACTTGCATGAAAGCGATTACTTTCAGTGCGTAGCTACCAGTTTCCAAACTAGGCGAACACGCCAGTGCCTCTGGTGCTTGGATGTATTCCTCTTGACTTTCCTACCTTCCAGTGATCGAAATTGTAGCAGGTGGAACCAATGTGCCTATGTCACATGACTTGTAGCTGGTAAATTGGTTGATTTGGACTGTGAAAGTCTCACAAGCGGGAAGTCGATCGCTGTCTCTTTCCTGTGTCTGGTTACGCTCCAGCCTATTGTAGCTCTGACACTATGAAAGACAAGTTTAATGACGTCTTGAATGCTCTGTCATGGCGAACTATAGCCTCAACTATCGCTGTGGTTGCCGGGGATCTGAATGCACAGGTGGGCAGGATTAGAACATCTGAGACTCAATTAGGTGGCCGACATGGATTGGACTTGTTAGGTTACTTACCGACAATGGCGAACCCGTACTTCAGCTACGTTCTGACTGAAGACTGTTTTTACGCAACACTGACTTCCGAAATAACAGAATTCGCGCGACCATAAGGTGTTCTCCAGGAGCGTGCTGGCCACAAACTAAAATTGGGCCCATCGCCCTCAGTTACCAGTAGTGCGGATCAATAACTGACTGTCGCGCGTTCTCCTGTCTAGGCTTGGTCAACCGGGCAGTATCCCAGTCCTCATGCTTTCTTCGGGTGATATGGCAGTTAGACACCGGAAGTGTGCTACAGGTGAATGATTTTTTTATGATCGTGTGTTCTTGAACGTATGTGGGTCGCTACCAACGAGCTCGTCCGAAGTCGCTTCTTTTTTCGTTTCTCAGGACCATGTAGGGTGCGGACAAGTCGCTTAGCAACTGAGAGAATGGCGGATCCGGATGTTAGACGAATTTATCGAAATCGTTTCGTCTCTTCCAAGTACTCCACCATCATTTGTGAACTCAGGCTGGAGCGACTTCGCCACATCTGTACATACTGCTGCGAGTTTTGCCCTTGGCACGGCGCTACCAGGCCCGTTCAAGCACTGAACCCAACAGTGGTACTGTTTGTAACTCGAAGAAATATATCAGCCGGTCCCGAGCGTAATTTGGCCCGATGATATATCAGACTTAAAGTGAGAGTAATCGTGTGCTGTCGTTGGTGTGTTCGCTGGACTAGGCAACTTAATTACAAACTCTTCATCGCCGGTGGATGTGACATTGTTAGTGCCTTGTTACGGAGCGGTGCACAGCCACTGACTTACCACTCCACTTCCTAACAATGCACTGATGATGTCACCTTGATGATGAAATGTGTGCGATTAAAATGCCAAGCTCAGCGAACAAACCAACGACCATCTAGGCTACCAGAGCTACCAACATCCCAGTGATAAAAAAGTGTTTACATTGTGGTATAGTCTCCAAACGCCTATGAATTTTCCTATTTGACCCGATCGTCAATCGGGATCGATGCTATTTCCTTCATTAGAGCAGTTTGCTCACGTCTCGTTGTTCTCACTTATTTTAAAGTTTCAATTCTTTCAGCTCCTGTTGGACCGAAATGCAAGGAGTTTTCAAGAAAAACACTAAACCTAAGGACCAAGAGGCCTATGCTTCTGTTATCGATGGATTATCTCGCCTTTACACTCAAAAGCTGCTTCCTTTGGAGACGACCTACAAATTTCACGAGTTCCATTCACCTGCCCTTGAGAAAGGGGACTTTGAGTCCAAGCCTATGGTACTTTTGATAGGACAGTATTCAACGGGGAAAACTACGTTTATTCGCTACTTATTAGGTCAAGACTTTCCTGGGATACGCATCGGTCCGGAACCAACTACTGATAGTTTTATTGCTGTGATGTATAACGAAAGAGAGGGCGTGATTCCTGGGAACGCTTTGGTTGCAGACCACAAAAAACAATTCCGACCTCTAGATCGGTTTGGCAACAACTTTCTCAACCGATTCCAGTGTGCCCACCTGCCCAATGAAGTGCTTGAGAGCATAACGTTTATCGACACTCCAGGTATACTCAGTGGAGAGAAACAGCGGCTTGACCGGGGTTATGATTTTTCTGGTGTGATTGAGTGGTTTGCTGAACGAGTCGACAGAATTATTCTTCTGTTTGATGCTCACAAATTGGATATTTCCGATGAGTTCAAGCGTGTCATTGAAGTTTTAAAGGTGAGTAGTCGTTTTACCGCCCTGCTGTCAGCCGAATTTTCGCAATTCTTGTGATGTTTATCACGATTTACATTGGTATGTAATTCTCTTCTTAACAAGTGCCGCGTGAGATACTTTTGAAACCCCTATTTCTTGTCCTTCGTAACTGTCCGGCAATAACGTCTAGTAGCGTTATGCATTTCTCGCTCTGTAAGAAATCCCCTCTAAGGAACACACTGGGGATGAAAATAATTTCTTGTTTCCTGATTTTTTGTATTGTGAATACAATGTTCCCTGTTTATAAGATGTCATTGGCTAAGAATCAGCTTGAAGGGGGGAAGTTTTACTGTGCAGTTTCATGCACGAGCGCTGGGATACTGCCAAGTGTAGACAGAAGTAGAGGTGCAGAGGCTGGGTTCGAACCACGGACCTTCCGGTCAGTGAAGTCGCGCTTTAATCACTGAGCCATCTCGGGTTGGACACCTCAGTTCACCGGAGGCGTGTTTTGGTGGTATTTCAGTGTGCACACAAAACACAATGATGATAGTGAATATCTTTTGCAACTTCCTACTGGCCACCAGTTTTCCCAGCAGTAATGGGTGCAGACGCAATTGGTGGCGTTGGGCTACCACTGTTTCTGAGCAGTTTTGGAGTCAAAGTGACCACATTGTCGTTAGCCCCTGATGGCGCGGTTCGGCCCTTGACTGCCGGCCGTTTTGGATTACACAGTTTGAATCAGATCACGTCCTTATTCTGCGCTGATTTCCGTTCAATTTCCCCGATGAACACCAGAACCGAGCCCGCCACTTAGCAGTCAACTGTCGAAAAGCTCCCTCAAAACTAGTGGAGTTCATCAAGGTTGTCCCCTCTGTCTCGTTTATTTCATTTTGTCTTCGATGTCATCATGAAATACACTCTAAGGAACCACTGATTCAGTTATTGAAATCACTGCTGGGATCCACTTGGTTCTGCTTGCAATTGGTTGGAAATCATTCAGGACATGGCACGCAGCCGACCCCAGTAGCATACATAGTGTCATTTCCTGGCTGCGCTGCCTAGCTCAAGCTCACCTGTTGTGCGTTGAGCCCATTCCACATGAGGTTCTCAAAGGCGGGGGGGTTGTCAGCCCAATTGTGACTAAATTCGAGATGATGCTCAGATGTGTTTTCATGAAATCCTGTTTCTTTTTCGCCGAAAAAATATCAGGACTGTGTATCGTAAGTGAACAAGACATAGAACCAGTGAGTGAGAAACTGTTCAAGTACTCCATAATGGCGTCTCTTACAGACGGACTGTTGTATTGCTGTATAACTGCTTTTTATCGGTTTTTGCTGATCATGTTTTGGGGATGGAATTGGTGCTGCGATTAATGCGTGAGACCACTGTGACCTCTCCTGCCACAAAATCACCCCTTCGGTTGAATAACAAGAACCTTGCATTTGTGTTGCGAAGTGAATCTAGCAACTCACGCCTCAACTTTTCGGTGCACATGCTCGTTTACTACACAGCGATTCTTAGGCATTTCAGGCGGAGTTCTATTTCATTTGTCGGAAACTATACAGTTTTGGTCTGTGGTTATCAACGGACGTAATCGAAATTTCGAGGGAACAATTTTTGCCACTGGGGAAGGAATCCATACTCTCTAAAGTATGGATTCTTTACACTACTTCAAATTGAAAAGCCGGTATAACGCTCAGATAATGGGAGGGAGCCAGAATAAGTTCGCTGATTCACAGCCAAATTTTCCTGATGTAGTTTTCTGGTGCTTGGTTTCCTCAACCCACTTGAACACAGCCTAAAATGTTACCACAAAGACGATACGTTTACTCTTTACTGCTTTACAAAAGAACAGCACTTACTGAGATACTGTAGTCAAACGGACGCACCGAAAGGCTGTAAGGTGCTCTTTTGTTCCGCTAGGGATTCTCTTAACTAACCCGTGTAACTTGCTCTCAGGGCAGTTAAATTCATGCAGGTAGCTTCCTTGCCCTGAGTCGGTGAAATTCGTAGCCGTCCAGATTCGGGAAGTGTGCTATCGTTGATGGTTCGAGTATGGTTAACCTGACAGAACACACTCAAGCCATCATTATCGTTTTTGAGCACAGTACGTGACTAATTTTTGTATGTTTATTAATGGACTCACGTGGCTGGAGAAACATGCACTGGTCACTGTTTCCTATCCGAAATTTAAGGCGGCAGTGCTCAGTTCTGTTATTTGTTTCATGGTAGTGGAAACTCTCCTGCCAACCTCACACCTGTTAGGTCGAAATGATCTCGAAACGTTCTGTCCACAGACATAGATTTTCCTAAGATTGAATCATCAGAAAATACAAACTACTTCAAAACGATTTGAAGGATCGAACTGCATGATTTGGTGGGCGTTCCAGGTTTTCAAAAGCAAAAAGCGCTACTGCTAGATTGAGGGGGATCAAACTCAAACCGAAGACTTACCATTCCATCAATGAAATGGAAAAATTCCCCTCGGTATTCTCGTGGGAAAGTGAATCAGCTGCCAGTCTGGCCTTTGGCAACCCCCATCTCTGGAAATTTCTTTCCTAATAGAATGCACATGATTCTGTTGTGCAGGTTTGCAATATGACAGCCGGTAACTGAAAGTCAGAATAGATTTTCAAAGTTTGTCGATTTGTCTGAATTACTGCTCTGGGTCTGTTGAGATTAGAATAGTGGATGTTGGCAGGCCATAGAGGAACGGCAAGTCACCTTTCGTGGATTGTGGTGACCGCCCCGCGTAGTTTGTATACCAGAGCCTATCCACGAACCAAGTTCTCAGTCTAAACACGGTCAGGTACTAGTATGGTGGTTAGGCATGAAAGCCGTTTACAGACCCCATTGTTTTCTGGATGTAACTCGTGGATTGAACATCCTCAGATAGACGTCCTGAAAGATAAGGTCCAAACACCCGGTCGCTAGCGCTCTTGCGCCAATACACAGCCATTTGCAAACTTCACTAATGCATGTTGGTCATCATTTCGCTTCATACAAAAACTATATTGAATGGTTTCCTTTCTCGTTTATTGCGTGGTCACTGTTATTTCCTAACACATGTTGTTAGCTATAGAACTCCGACAGCCAAGGCGACCATATTGGATAGTAGCTGGCACATGGCGCAATCACTGCAAACCATTTGGCTTACGTTTTGCGCAACTTTTTCCGACAGTCTGTATGACGGTGCATACTGCTGTGACGGTGACGATAGCTGGTTACTACGAAGCTAGTATTCACTCGTTTACGTGCGATATTTTAATCCCAGTGAATTGTTGCAATTGTCTACCTTTGAGTTCCTGTATTTTAGGGATTTCATACGCTTATTATCTGTATCCATTTGAGTTTGCTCTTTCCCATGGTTACTTGTGCCAGTGGATTTATCAGGCTCGGAATTAGGCGAGTTAATTAAATCGATTTTTGTGGAGGACTTGCGAGAGAACTCCGTATTTACTCATTGATGCGTTTGTTTAGCTATTCTGTATTCGTTGCCTTATGCCAGCGCAGTGCTGAAATTTATCTCTCTTGGTATGTCTTTTAGGGCAACGAAGATAAAATTCGCATTGTCCTCAACAAGGCTGATATGGTAGATGCACAACAACTAATGCGGGTCTACGGCGCCTTAATGTGGAGTTTGGGTAAAATCCTCTACACTCCCGAGGTAGCGCGCGTCTACATTGGCAGCTTCTGGGATCGTCGTCTACTCTTCGACACGAACCGCAAACTTTTCGAATTGGAACAACGTGATTTGTTCCGGGATCTGAGCACTCTTCCAGGTGATGCGGCACTACGAAAACTTAATGATATCATTCGACGGGCACGACTGGCGAAGGTGAGGATTCTTCCGCATTCT